ATGACAGTGACAGGCAATATTTTGAGTTTGACAAGAGATAAGTGTTACGTGTTGTTCCTTGTTCCTTGTGTTGTTTTCGGACTCGGTGGAAAAACTAAGTTCTAAATATAATCATTTTTAATATTATTTGTAACGAAATTTTAGAATTAAGAAAAGAGCGTGAATGGCAAAATTAACTAAATAACCGTTTTTGTTTTGTTTTTTGGGGATAAATAAAATCTTTTGTACATGTAATTATTGTATATTTATTTAAAAAATCGTTAATAAATGCTGCCCGAACAGAATTTCCTCTAACGGAGTTATTTACTAATTGTGTGACTGATATATTTTCATCATCTCCTTATACTACATCCTCAAGCAGGTCTTGCTTTTGCATTGCAATGTATATAGTTTTGTATGCTCTTATTTAGTATGTAGTCCTCGCAGTAAACACCGAAACCTTTGCTTCCCTCCAAAGCATTGTTCTACAGTGTAACGGGCCACCAGATGTGCAACCGGTTGTACATTCTTCCTTTTGTTTATTAGGACGCAGGATAGGAGCGAATAAATAAGGAGTACAAGCACAACCAGAATCTACGAGAAGTCTGCCTTTAAATTCTGACTGCTCAAACGTTTGTTTTAATGCGACTTTCTTTAAATATTCTTGAGTCATGTGTGCTGCCTTGCCAATGTGCCACTGTATCCATGAACTCTAAATTTTCATTTGACACAACCTGGAACAAAGCACTCATAACTTCTTTAATATGATTTAATAATAGATTGAGGTGATTGTGTCGAATCTAAGACAATAACTAAGTACCTATACGGCAAAGATGGGCTAGCTAGGTGCTATAAAACTTACTTGTACATTTATTGAACTGTATCCTTTCCTGTTTATGTAGTATTGTTCGATGTTTCCAGCGACTTTCGGGATTAGAATATGTAACAATCAATAGCCCCAATCACTTGTCTAAATCCATATAATGAATAAAAACCTGCAATCACTTTGTTCTGATCCACATCCCTTCTTGTTATTTTAATCCATTGTGCTGTTTTTCTTACCAGTGCTTACAACTTATGAATTTAACACGGGTACCAACGCGTGTAAACGTACGTAAAATTTTACAAAATGTCAAAATACGCGACTAGTCTATGCTTACTCAGTCGTTAAACTAGGTACCGCCAAAGATTAACTTTTATTCCGAGACTCGGATTAGATTCGGATTAGTTTACTCCCTCCTTACTCTATGTTTATTAATACTGAAATAAGATATTTTAAGCTTTAAACTAGTAGTAAAGTTAAGCTTGCTCAAGTCTGTGTTTATTAATAGGGCTGAGTATGTCTTACTTTGGCTAAGAGGTTAATCTACGTCTCCAAATCGGCTGGATAGCTTTCAGTATTACGGTGTATTTCGCCACGTTTACCTCAAAACTTGTGAACAAGAGTGTACATTATACATACGTACAACCGTGCATGCCGAGTAAATATAAATATGTATAATAAATAACGAGTTATAGATCTGAGATTTGGCCCTTTATGGGCTGCATGAGAAACCTCAAGTTCTCTCGTAGGCTATTTTATGGGCTATGCAATATATATTTTTTATTTTATTTATTTTATCTTCAGGGGAAACATACATAATTTTATTCGATTACATTACACATATTAATCTTACATTTAATAATAAAGTTTCCACTGTTAAGTAACGTATCGACAACAAGCGAACACCATGACAAACTTAGGTGTACAAAAAATAAAGCGAAGTTAAGTCAAAGTAATGTGTGATTTTTAAGTAAAATGATAATTAACCTATTAATTTAACTATTATCCTTTACAACTTCAATTTCCTTCTTAAACTGTCCATATGACAGAGAAAATATATCTACATGTGAAAAGTTTTTATTATACGAATTACATGCACGAGTTATATATATTTTGTGCGCATAGTGGAATTACAAAATAAAAGTTTCTTTCTAGTACTAATCCTTTGGTATCTGAAACTTATTTCATTTAGAAGTGGTATTATTATTACCTTACCTACCTACCTACCTACTTATTTCATTTAGAAGGAGTCGACCCTATTATGAATGATTTTATATAAAAATATCTGATCCCTGACAGTACGGCGAGTTTGTAGGTCAAAAGTCTATTTGGTGTAGACTAGACCATCGCCGGCTAATCTAAATTGGATATGCTTCAGAAAATTATTGTGGATCTTTTCAATTGACTCTATATAAATATTATATTGAGGATTCCAAACTGTTGAACAATATTCTAATATTGAGCGGACCAACGAGTTATACAAAATAATTAGGGTTGAGGGCTTTTTAAAATCTTTAGTAATTCGTAAGACAAATCCAAGCATCTTATATGACTTGTTAACTATTTTATCAATATGAGATTTAAATGTTAATTTTTGATCCAAATGCACGCCCAGGTCCCGCAACTCGGTTACCCGATATATCGACACATCATTTATTTTATAATCAAATTCTATAGATCTGTTTTTTTTTGCTGATTACGTTTTTTAATATTTAAGAACAATTGATTATTTGAACAATATGAGTATAATCTATTAATATCTTCTTGTAGTAGCTCACAGTCATGTTCATTTTTAATAATTTTAAAAATCCTTTTATCATCAGCAAATAGGAGTATGTTAGAATGTTAAAATTGCAAGAGAACATCATTTATATAAATATTGAACAAAAGGGGACCGAGATGCGAGCCCTGTGGGACCCCCGAAGATATTGGTAAAAACGAAGAACAGAACCCCTTAACTGCTACTGCTTTAGTACCATTACGCAAGTAAGATGCTAGCCATTGCAGGAGGTCACCGTTCACACCGATTTGGTCTAGTTTTTTGATAAGTATTTCGTGAGATATTTCATCAAAAGCTTTGGAATAATCGGTGTACACAGCATCCACCTGTAGCCCTGCATCCAATGCTTTGTAAACAATATCAAGATATTCGCATAA